CCTCCCTCTCCGTCCCTCCCTCTCCGGACTCCCCATCCCCACCTGCGTCCCTCCAGGCCCCGCCCCGCGTCCGGCCTCTAAAGCCGCCGGGTCTGGGACCACTTGTTAACAGAGCTCTGCTGACCCTGCCTCCTGTGACTTTGTCCGCAAATGGAGACCAAGGGCCAAATCAGGCACCTGCATGGCCCCGCGACCCCGCGGCTTCTCGGGCCTTGGCTGAGAGTGACCAACAGCACTGAGTGGGTCGCCTCCCCATTCCGTCCCCACCACTGCCCTCCTTCCAACGCCTGCGCTGCGAAGGGGTAGCGGCAGCCGCTGCTCTAGGAGTGTGACCCACCCCAGACCAAAGCTGCCCGGCTGGCCAGGAGGCCTCTCCGAGGCGCCTGCTCCCCTTTGGATTTAATCTTTCTCCCCTGGCCACCGGCAGACGGGGCAGGAGTAGGGTGTGTGTGTGTGTGTGTGTTTCCTTCTCAATTTTAGATTCTTCTTTCCCTCCCGTCCAGTGGTAGGATGCTTACCTGGTTTATAGTCCAACTCACAGCAGAGTTTTTCTGTAAAGAGGAAATAAAACAGGATGCGAATTTATTAGTCTCACAAAAACCACAGATCCGTTCATGACGGAGAAACTGAGGCCCAGAGGAGAGAAGGGCAGAGAAGAAGGAGCCCTGGAGCCCGCCGCCAGTGACTGGACTGAGCTCGTCCCAGACTGGTTCTAACCCGGTGACCCCGGGTGACCCGCGAATGTGGGTGTTTTAATAAGCTCAGGGGCGGTGCTGGTGGGGAGCCCGCTTGTCCCTCGCCCTCGCCCAGTGCAGGGGCCTGTCTGCCTCGCTGGCCTCTGTCCTCAGTGCTTCACAGAGCCTAGGACACAGTAAGTGCTCAAGAAATAGCTACTTAGTGGATGGATAGTGGGCTAACTTATTTCTTGTTCTGCTTGGAAATTTCCAGGATAGACCAAGGTCAGTCTTTGATTAGAGTAAAACTGCTTTCCCTGCCCGGCCCCTGGGAGCACCAGCAGGGAGTGAACTCGTGGGGAGAGCTCAAGGTGACACTTCGGTGGGTGGGTCATTTAGAAATGGGTGGCATCATTCGTGGTGTTGTGTGTGTGTGTGTGTGGGGGGGGGGTGTTGACAGAGCCAATTCCTGACCCTCAAGTCAGACCCTGCACACCCTCTCCTCCCCGCCCTGTTCCGGAAAAGGCTCACCGTCCAGGGCAGGCGCCCCAGACCCAGAGCGCAGGGCGGCGGGGAGAGGGGCGAGAATCAGCTCCCCCCAGGCAGAGATTTTCTGCTGGTTATTAACTAACAGTGTTCATCATAAAAAACCTATTCCACAGATGTGTCTGTGGGTTTTTTAATAACTGAGAATGATAGATTTTTATTAATCACTATCTTTTTATTATTTAATTTTTAAAATTTTACTTTTTCCATCACCATGTATCCCCTCTATGCCCTCTTCCACCTCCACTGCCCCACACTGTGGTCTGTGTCCAAGAGTTCTCTCCTCTTTTTTTTTTCTTTTTTGCTCAGGTCCACCCCCCCCCCCCTCATCCCCCTCTCCCCCACCAGAGCTGTCTGCCTGCTCTCTATGAGTCTGTCTCTATTTTGCTTGGCAGTTCAGTTTGTTCATTGAATTCAACACAAGAGTGAGAGCACACGGTACGTGTATTTTTCCAACTGGCTTATTCCCTTAGCATAATGCTCTCCAGGTCCATCCATGCTGTCGCAAAGGGGAATTTTTCTTCCTAATCATTATCTTTCTTGATTGCGTAATGCCAATTGACCAGATTGTGTTTTCCAAACCAGTTAAATTTTTTCCAGAAATCTTCGCCTTTATTACTTACTTTCATTGTCACATCACCCCAATGAGCAGATTTGATAAAGATCTGCAAATAAGGGAACCAGGCACTGGCAGGGCCAGGAGTGGCTGGTGCTGGGCGGCGGGGTGCGTGGAGGCCTGGGGAACGCTTACCCAGAAACACCTTCATCTCCCTCTGCAGCAGAAGGGCCTGCTGGGGGAGGTCCCGGATCCTCTGGCCCAGCTCAGGGGACACAGCCTCTGGTTTCCGGCACTTTCTGGCTTCACATCTAGGGCACAGAATGGCAGCACTGGGACTCTCCTCTTTCATAAAACCTTCAGGCTCAGCACTCACCTTCTCACTGGGCCTGAGCTGCCAGCTCCCACAGGGTGGGCCCCCCTGCCTGCTCTTGGGCAGCGCCATGCAGGCTGCATATGGGAATGCGGTTGCGTAAGTGAAAGTGCATGTGAATTTCATCCTATGGGGGGAGTGCCATACACTTGCATGGCACTACCTGGGCTTGGTGTGTGTGAGTATGTGCGTGCGTGTGTGTGTGTGAGTGTGTGTGTGTGTGTGTGTGTGTGTAAGGAGAACTATATCACTTACCTTATTAGTGTGCTCCTGATATTCTAGGAGGAGAGAGAGAGAAAGCAGGGATTCAGTTTCCACCTTCCTCCTCCCACTTTCCTTATAACTAGAAAAACAAAATACCATTCTCTTAGCCCTGGGCGTGAAAAGGGCCCCAGACCACAGAGCCACAGCATTTGGGCTTCACCAGCCTCCCTCACGCAGCCCTCCTGCCTACAGCTCCAGAAGGTGAAGCGAGAGGGTGAAGCCAGAGCAGGCCAGGCCCCCCTCGGCCTCCCTCCCGGGCTGCCTTTCTGATGCTTTGCTGAGACCCAGTCTCCCTCCTCCAGCGGGAGGGCGTGAACGAGGCCAGGAAGAACATCCTGACTGCGGAGCAGCGGCTCAGAGGACAGTTCACGCGGACCTGATGCTTTTCAAAGTGCTACTTCCCCTGGCATTTACCGTTGGGTCCTCACAAAGCCCCTGTGAGGTGGGTGGTGGCATGGACAGATTGAGACCAGGGAAGCAAGGACTAGAACTCAGAACCTCAGGTCCTGGGGCCCATCTTCCACTGGGATGAGACGCGAAGCGAAGGGGACAGGCTCGACAGAGTGAAGGTGCGGGAGAGGAGGAAGCCAGGCTGCGCAGCCTCACCGTCAGGAGCTCCCTGGCTGACTGCTCCTTCTTTTCCTCCAGCTCCGTGATCAGGGCGCTGAACCGGCTCATCTCCCCAGTGACCAGCATGTCAAACTCATCCCGTTGCTTCAAGATGTCCCCCTCCAGCCCCTCCAGCTGGGCCAAGAGAGCGCTGTGCTGCTCCTCCAGGAACTGGCGCAGGCGTGCGAACTCAGAGATCACTCTTTGTCTCCTGGTGGCCACCTGGGTCTGGGGGCCAGAGAAGTCAGCAGGAAGTTATTCCTCCCCTCCTCTCCTCTTCCTCCTCCTTGTTTTTCCTTAGTTCACTCCCATCTCTCTCCTGGCCACATCCTCCATGGCTCAGTGGTAAAATCAGAGCCCCTGGCCCAGGTCCCAGACAGATGTGGGAGGGCAGCGGGCTTCCTTTCCACCTTCTCGGCTGCCCAGCTTTGCCTCGGGGGAGGCTGAGGGCAGGCGCTGGGGACACCCTACCTCCTGCCTTTTGCAAAGAACATACGATGTGCACGGCACTAATTGCATTTACAGGCACAGTCTCATTGCAGTCTTTACAGAATTCCGAGAGGTAGTGGAAAATTTTAATCTCCACTTCACAGAGAAATACACAGAACAGAGAGTTGCTAGAAGACATAGAGCAACTTAGTGTCAGAGTCAGGATTCAGACTCTAATGACATCAAAACCCATACACTGTGGGGCACGGAGGAGGGGAGGGGAGGGGCCAGGCAGGGGGGAGTCCTACCAGGAGGAAGTGTATCCTTTGATTTTCTCTTGACTGAATTTCTTGAATCTCCTCTGTCTCTTTTCTTAGACACTCAAGACACGTCTGTATCTGTTCCTGGAGAGAAGGAGCATAAAATATTGAAGGTGGGAGCAGTGGCTTCTATAGTTGTCGTCTCATCCTCCTCTGCCTCCAGGAAGGCAGGGCCCCTCAGCTGGCCATGCCTGAGCCCTACTTGTCCTCAAAGCCCTTCTCTGTGGGCTGTCTTCCTCTGGCTTCTGTCCTTCGAGAGTTTTGATCAGGGATTGGCCCTTTATCCCGTGTCAACATAAGCTGTGCCTTGGGGTTCCACCTGAGACTTTCCTTCTTCAGGGGAACACCTGATTTCTTGCCTTTGCTAAGTGGGACCTGGGATCTGTCCTGAGCTTGATACGCCCTCCTTGAAATTATTCCAACTTTCTCGCATGCCCGAAAGGGAGCACACCCAAACAACCCTCCCTTGTGAATGGAATCAATTTTCTGTGTGTGATTCTGAAGGGGAGAAGAAACATGGATGTCGCAAAATCAATCAGTTGGCTGTTTTAAAATTGCTTGCTCTAGACCAAGTATACACACGTAAATGTTCATATAGGTAAATTTGAAAATATATATAGAACTCTCATCATCAAAGATTAATGAACTAGGAAGGAACACTTCCAAACTCTGCTGAGGCCAGCATTACCCTAATTCCAAAACCAGATAAAGACACTACAAAGAAAGAGAATTACAGGCCAATATCCCTGACGAACATAGATGCTAAAATCCTCAACAAAATAGTAGCAAATCTCATCCAGCAATATATTAAAAAGGTCATACACCATGACCAAGTGGGATTTATTCCAGGGATGCAAGGCTGGTACAATATTTGCAAATAAATAAACATGGTACATCACATACACAAATTGAAAGAGAAAAATCACATGATTATATCAATAGACGCAGAAAAAGCATTGGACAAAATCTAACACCCATTTTTGATAAAAACTCTCAGCAAAGTGAGACTAGAGGGATCATACCTCAACATGATAAAGGCCATATATGACAAACCTACAGCCAACATCATACTCAATGGGCAAAAGGTACAACCATTTCCCCTAAGAACAGGAACAAGACAGAGATATCTACTTTCACCACTCTTATTCAATGCAGTACTGGAAGTCCTAGCCACAGCTATCAGACAAGAAGAAGAAATAAAAAGCATCCAAATTGGAAAGGAGAAAGTAACTCTCATTATTCGCAGATAACATGACATTGTACATAGGAAACCCTAAAGACTCCACCAAAAAACTACTAGATTTAATAAATGAATTTGGCAATGTAGCAGGATAAAAAATCAACACCCAGCCCTGACCGGTTTGGCTCAGTGGATAGAGCGTCAGCCTGCGGACTCAAGGGTCCCGGGTTCGATTCCGGTCAAGGGCATGTACCTTGGTTGCAGGCACATCCCCAGTGGGGAGTGTGCAGGAGGCAGCTGATCGATGTTTCTCTCTCATCAATGTTTCTAACTCTCTATCTCTCTCCCTTCCTCTCTGTAAAAAACCAATAAAATATATTTTTTTAAAAAAATCAACACCCAAAAATCGATGGCTTTTTTATACAGCAATAGAGAAACTAAACAAACAATCCCATTTACCATTGCAACAAAAAAATTAAGATACTTAAGAATAAACTTAACCAAGGAGGTAAAAGACTTGTACTCAAAAAACTACAGGACATTGAAAAAAGAAATAGAGGAAGATATAAACATGTGGAAGAATATACCATGTTCATGGATTGGTAGAATTAACATCATTAAAATGTACATACTACCGAAGGCAATCTACAGATTCAATGCAATCCCTATTAAAATACCAACAGCGTATTTCACAGAGCTAGAACAAATTCTCTAAAAATTTATATGGAATAAAAAAAAAAAGACCCTGAATAGCAGCAGCAATCTTGAGAAAGAAATACAAAGTTGGAGGAATCACAATACCAGATTTCAAGTTGTATTACAAAACCACCGTAATCAAAACAGCCTGGTACTGGCACAAGAACAGGCATATAGATCAATGGAACAGAACAGAGAACCCAGAAATCTACCCAAGCCATTATGCTCCATTAATATTTGACAAAGGAGGCAAGAGCATACAATGGAGTCAAGACAGTCTCTTCAATAAATGGTGTTGGGAAAATTGAGCAGATACATGCAAAAAAAATAAAACTAGATTACCAACTCACACCAAACACAAGAATAAACACAAAATGGATAAAAGACTTAAGTGTAAATCAGGAAACCATAAAAATCCTAGAAGAAACCATAGGCAGCAAAATCTCAGACATCTCTCATAGCAATATGTTTGTGGATACATCTCCTGGGGCAAAGGAAACTAAGGAGAAAAATAAACAAATGGGACTACATCAAAATAAAAAGCTTCTGCACAGCAAAAGAAACCATCAACAAAATGAAAAGGGAGCCCACTGTATGGGAGAACATATTTGGCAATGATACATCTGATAAAGCGTTAATATCCAAAACATATAAGGAACTCATAAAACTTAATAAAGGACAAACAATCCAATTAAAAAATGGGCAAAGGGGAGAATCGAAGATGGCGGCATAGGTAAACACCGGAGACTGCTGCCGCAAACAACCACTTCAAAAATAAAACTAAAAGACGGAACGGACATCAACCAGAACCACAGGAAGGCTGGCTGAGGAGAGACTCTTCAACTAGAAGGAAAAACAACAGCATTACGAGGCTCAGAGGAGGCGCAGTGTGGAAAATTTAAAGGTATGGTGGTGCGCGCGCAAAGCGGGCTGGTGGCTGAGGGCGCGGTTGTCGTTTTCAATCAGGAGGGAGTCTCAGACTCTGGGCTACAGATCCGGGCGAGTCTCTAGGGACCCAGACTCAAACGGGAGAAGCGGGACTGTCTGGCTACGGTCCCTCCGAGGTTTGCAGCGGTTGCTGGGACAGAGAGGAGGAGCCCCTGGGGACGGACTGAGAGCAGCCATAGCTGCTCCCTCTGCCCGCTCTGTTGAGCCCGCCCCCCCAAAGCCCTGCACAGAGCCATTTGCCGGATCGCCTCAGGCAAAGGCTAAATTAGCACCTCCCCAGAGGACAGAAGTTTTCCACACAGCTGATTCTCACAGCCAGTCGGCCTGGTGGTCAAATCCCTCTAGTATTAACTACAACAATTAAGGCTTCACTAGAACAAGACTGTGCACAAAGACCACAAGGGGGTGCACCAAGAAAGCATAAAAAATGCAGAGACAAAAAAACATGACAGAAATGGAGGATATGGAGCTAAAAATCGAAATTTTGAGGGCTTGCAATAAACTTGAGCAGAGCCTCACGAAAACTAATGAGACCCTCGATGCTATGATAAAGAAACTAGAAAGTAAGCATACATGGACTGAAATAAAGAATATTATACCCAATAGCAGACCAGAGGAGCACAAGAATCAAACCAAAGATTTGAAATGCAAAGAAGCAAAAAACACCCAACTGGTAAAGCAAAATGAAAAAAGAATCCGAAAGTGTGAAGATAGTGTAAGGAGCCTCTGGGACAGCTACAAGCGCACCAATATCAGAATAATAGGAGTGCCAGAAGATGAGAGACAGCAAGATATTGAAAACCTATTTGAAGAAATAATGGCAGAAAACTTCCCCCACCTGGTGAAAGAAATGGACTTACAGGTCCAAGAAGCGAAGAGAACCCCAAACAAAAGGAATCCAAAGAGGACCACACCAAGACACATCATCATTAAAATGCCAAGAGCAAAAGACAAAGAGAGAATCTTAAAAGCAGCAAGAGAAAGAGACTCAATTACCTACAAGGGAATACCCATACGACTGTCAGCTGATTTCTCAACAGAAACTTTGCAGGCCAGAAGGGAATGGCAAGAAATATTCAAAGTGATGAATAGCAAGAACCTACAACCAAGATTACTTTATCCAGCAAAGCTATCATTCAGAATTGAAGGTCAGATAAAGAGCTTCACAGATAAGGAAAAGCTAAAGGAGTTCATCACCACTAAACCAGTATTATACGAAATGCTGAACGGTATCCTTTAAGAAGAGGAAGAAGAAAAAGGTAAAGATACAAATTGTGAACAACAAACATGCATCTATCAACAAGTGAATCTAAGAATCAAGTGAATAAATAATCTGATGTACAGAATGAACTGGTGATTATAATGAATCAGGGACATAGAAAGGGAATGGACTGACTATTCTTGGGGGGGAAAGGGGAATGGGAGATGCGGGAAGAGACTGGACAAAAATCGTGCACCTATGGATGAAGACAGTGGGTGGGGAGTGAGGGCGGAGGGTGGGGCGGGAACTGGGAGGAGGGGAGTTATGGGGGGGGGGGAAGAGGAACAAATGTAATCTGAACAATAAAAATTTAATAAAAAAAAATAGTTCTTTCCATAATATAATTCCTAATTATCAGCAAAGTAACCCAGTTTTCTTTAAAAAATTTTTTTATTCTAAATTCATTAACTGTCCTCATTCTCCCTTATAATTTGGGAAGGTTACAAAAAAAATCACTGGTTAACTTCTAACCCAAGCTAAAAAGTAAAATATGATTAGGAAATCAAACTCAAAACAATTCAATTACTACAAACCCATAATAACTAATAAATATGCACTAATATTCATCAATTTATCATATCTTGCAATTATACTAAATGGTCATATTATTTCTCCTATTAGATTATAGCATAGAATGCATCCATACAGAGCCAAAAAATATGGACATGCTCAAAAAGCAAACTGATGGGGTATGTCAAAGCCACATAGAAGCCCACTGAAGGTGGCCCCAATGGTCAAAGATGTAACAAGCAATAAAATAAATTACCTGATATTAGATTATAAAAAATACCCATGAGTCTGTATTAATACAAATCTATATATATAAAAGGCTAAAATGCAAAGTGTCCCCGTGGGAGTTCGACCGGGAAACCAAAAGTTCTATTGCTCGCTGTGATGTGCGCTGACCACCAGGGGGAAGCATAGAATGAAGGAAGGCCCTGGCTGGCAGCTGGCAGCTGGGGAAGGGAGGCTCAGGCTGGCAGCCAGAAGGTCCCAATCAGCCCTGATCACCAGCCAGGCCTAGGGATCCTACCCGTGCACGAATTACATGCACCGAGCCTCTAGTGTTTTAATTATTAAGAGGGGAAGAATACACAAATCTCCAACCCAGAATTCCAAATAACTTATGTAGACACTCTGCCTTTGTCAGACTATATATCACTTGGTTCTCTCACCTGTTTCCTTCTTGAACTAGTAAATTCCATGGAGGAAGATACTTTGTAAGTAATCTGTATGTTGCTAGTGCTGCCTAAAACATATGACCTGAGTTCGTTAATGATTACTTAATTGAATAAATAAATTTGACATAAGAGGTAAAAGTATGAATGTATTTTTAAAGGATGAAATAATATAGTGAATATATCTCAACATAAATAAATACACACATACATAAAAAGTATTATTAAAGAGAGTAAGGAGTGCTTAACATTTTGCAATGTCTGTGGGGCAAGACTGTTCTAGAAAATATTCTGGAATAGATCACTGATCTGAGTCAGCATGTCATCTCTAATGTCCAGTTTGGTTTGAAACACAAATGATATGTCCTGTCTATAACTTATAGGCATACCTTAGAGATATTGTGATTTCAGTTCCAGACCACCATAATAAAACAAGTACTGCAATAAATTGAGTCTTAGTCATTTTGCTGGTGGAGGGTCTTGCCTTCAATTTTTAAAAAAAATGCAACACCTCTGAGACTCAATCCAGCAAAGCACAGTAAAATGAGG